TTGTGTGTGTGTGTGTGTGTGTGTGTGTGTGTGTGTGTGTGTGTGTGTGTGTGTGTGTGTGTGTGTGTGTGTGTGTACGGTAAAGCTTAGTGCATATACAAGCCTCAAAGCCATGGAATGTGAAAAGGCAAAAGCTGAACTTTCAGACCTTGAGGAGTATAAATATCAGGATTGTTGGAACAAAAACAGAACAGAACTCTCGCATCCCAAACATTCCTTCAAATGTAGCTTTTAAGAGGAACAATATTTTGTTTCTAAAATCAGTGTTCCAACTTTCCTCAACTATATTCTTCCTTTTGTTTGGCCGGATGTACAGTACTCGGAACTATGAAAAGAAAGACACAATGAAATAGGATAACATAAAACAAGCATTAACTAGATGTGTTGTACACTATCACGGTAAGTAAGACTGTTTTGCTGTACAACTCCAGAAAAAAATGCATTTTTGTGTGGAGGAAAAAGAAAACTGCATTAACTTAAAATGCACGGCCCTTGACAACAAACATTTATCTTACCTCCAATTGTTTATATTACAGGGGCCATAGGAATTCCGTAAGCAACAACCAGGTTCCTTTAATCAGTCTCTTGAATTAGATTGAATCTTAGAGAAAAAAAGCATGTTGAGACATCATATCAAGAATGTTGCAAGCGCACAAAAATTGTGCATGATCAAAAAGAAAATTTTAAATGTGTAACAAGTGCACCTGTGGGATTCAACTAACCCCTTGCGCACTAATAAACGAGCTGTAAAATGTTCACTGTAGTTTGGCAGATTAAACAAGAAAAAAGTCGCTGTTAAAACATAATAAATGAGAATAAAATTGTTGGTCACTGTACAGCTCAGGTATCAAACTCAGGCCAGATACGGCTCACCAAATCATTTAATGTTTTTTGTTAAAATATTACAGTTGCTTCTTTTCACTTTTAATAACACTGAGCATTTTTTGTTCCAATCCACTTTTCAAAATAAATTGAAAAAATATTTCAATTTTTTTTTACTGGATTCGGTAGTGTACATATGAAAACATGAAGGCTCAGACATGTTGATGGATTCCAAGTGCTAAACCACGTGGCCCGTGACAAAAATGAGTTTGACACCCCTGCTTGTAGAGCAACTTGAAATGTAAAATTGCATCTATACATATTTTTCATGGAGAGAAGCATGTACACGTTTGCGAACGTAAAAAGCGGTGAGCGCGCTGCAGCAGGTGGTGAAGATAAAGAGCGCGACGGCGTCGTGAGCGAGATCGCCGTGGAGTCGCTCGTAGAGCGGCCGCCGCTCGCCGAAGTCTATCCGCAGAGCTTCGATCTGCACCAGGGTGCTGAACATGACAAACACGTGAAAGATCTGGTGGCCCTGCCCGATGAAGTCACACTTCCCAGGGAACCAGCTCTCCGGGTGAGGGCAGGAAAAAAAGTAGGCGCCGATGAGGAAAAAGAGCACTTGGTAGAGGTGGTAGACCACAACCAGGTCAGAGCAGCCTTCCTGGTAGCACGTGTAGATGCGATGAACCACGGGACTGATGTCCAAACAGTAAGCCAAGGCCGAGGGCACCACTTGGAAAAGCTTGTGCGTAATCTTGGGCAGCGTGGGACTGACGTATTTGCCATAGCAGCAGCCAAAGCATGTGAGCCAGGCCAAGAAAGCAGCGGCGGGTAAAAAGAACCCTTGCACTCTGGCATGCCACGCCTCCTCGATGGCGTAGTAGTAATGCGTCAACGCGCTGCCGTACTGGTAGACGGCCACCCCCACGTAGTCGAGGAAGTAGAAGGTGTAGTGAGACAGCTCAGATTTGGCAGACAAGAGATGAGCGAGTGCGCTAAAGGAGAGGTAGGTGAAGGCGGTGAGGAGGATGATGAAGAGGGGCTGAGCGTGAGGGTCTCGCAAAAAATCAACCGTCTGTGAGATCTCCTGCCACTTCACCAAGATGACCAGGGCGGCCAGCAGGTGTGTCCATACGTTAATGGTCTCGTTGTGCCTTTGGAAGAGGGTGAGGAAGTAGTAGCGCCAGCTATGGTCCGGCTGCCTGTAGCCAGTGAGGATGTGACGCTCTTGGAACACCCAGGGAACGTCAGACACCTTGACGGTGCAAGGCAGTGTGGGAAAGGCCGACTCCAGCAGCTGAGGGATCTGACGCAGCTGCTGGGCGTTGATAAACAGGCGGCCGATCTGCTCCATCACCACCGTCGCCATGGCAAACTACAAGCGGGGACAGAAGGGGGAAAGGAAGGGCGCAGCGGTAAATTTAGTGTGTGGGATTCAAACTCTAAATTATGAATTATATGGTTTCCCTCAGAAGGTCTTCATGACTGTGAAGACCAGAAATGTATAATCATATATATCATATTACGTAGACACAACTGCACCTGCATTTCATTTTTACTAGAACTATATTTTATATATTTGTTTTGGGCACACTGAACAGAAGCATTATTAGCCAAAGATTTCAGAATTCAGTTTTCATTTATACCCCAAGTGTCCAATTAAAACATTTTAAAATGTTTTTTTTTTCTTTTAGAGATCCACCCAACTAAAGGTACCTTCAGTGAAGTTAAGCTACATTTAATGTGGAAAAGCATCTCGGCTAGATCGCTACATTTTCCAAGTATATTTTCAGAATGTTCGTTTGCAAAGCAAATATCAAATAACAGATGCAATACCTCAACCATTTGTTCCAATATCACGATTCAGAGACAGTGAAAGGAGGAGATTGTGTTGACAGGCTTGACAGAGAACAGAAGCGTGAAGGAAGCTTTCAGTGGAGGTCAGACAGGCAAGCAGGCATTCACATCTTTTTTTTTTTTTTTTTTTTTTAATATTATGGAAATGACGAGAAGCACAAATCGTTTTGAAAGAAAATTATTGGTATCCTTGAATGTTGTGAACGAGCTATACAATGCCTTTTGAAATGAAATGTACCACATTTGCATAAACGGAATATTGTGAATATACAGCGAATGAATGCGTGGATGGATGGATTTCTTTAGGAATAAAACCTTTTCTAAATGATTTTTACTGTAGTTGTATCAAAGAAGAAATGGAAAGTGTGGCCTTGGAGAGCAACACTGAACTGTTGCTCAACATTTTGCTGCACATCCTTTGGCAAAGGCAACTACCTCCGAGCATTTCTTAAAGCAACCTTGAAGTCTCTTGCACAAGTCAGTTGATGTTATGAAAACCGTTTTTAATACATTCAAGTCTTTCACTGCGAAGGGAGATAATGTATTTATTCTCAACTATGCTTAACTGTTTTTTTTAAGTTGCTATAGAAATGGTGACCCTAGTTTGCTTTCATCTGTCCACAAAACATCGTCCTAGACAGATATTCTGTCAAACATCATCGAGGCTAATAATGTGAGTCAGACCTGTGCAAGGTGTGTCCGAAAAGTTCCATGACTGATGAATTTCATACTAAATGTGAGTTTCCTGTAGCCATCTAACGTTTTTGCACTTGGTTTTCGATCAATATCCTCTGTGTCTGGTTGTCAAGCAATGAGCAGAGGGAGCTATGCAGATACCAATGAGGCCAGACTTGTTAGGGAGTGTCATGACTGGTGATGAGTCAAAATAAACTTCAAGTACACAGCCTTCAGTGGAATAGGCTAACATTGAAAAGGCCAAAGAGAGCAAGGAAGTCAAAGTCCAAAGTCCTATTGATGGCATTCTTTCAGGTGGGGGGCCTCAGCCGCTGCCAGTTCTTCCCACAGTGCCAGATGTTCAATGAAGCACGTCTTCAGAGAGATCCTGTGGCATTTGTTTTCCTTCAATGTACAAGGTGAATTTCAGCAAACTCAAGGATGCTTCACCATGTCAATGCACACCTGATCGTGATGTCCAGAGCATCTGACCGTTCCCAGCGAATAAGAAGATGCAAGGGCAACCACCCTCATCCTACTTGGCTCGGTGTGATCCCCCCCCAAGAGTGTTATCGACTCTCAATTCAGACATGGAGGACACTATAATGGCAGGGCCAAAGACGACAGAAGGTCTGGGATGATTCCTTCCAAGAGGACATAATGTTAGGCAGAGAAGCCTGGAGGATGGAAAAGTGTGTTCAGACTCCACGGAGATTACATTAAGGGGGGAAACTTGTTGGCTGGATTTGAAAGATAATCATTTGTGACATCAGTCAAGGAAGTTTTCTGACAGTGTGAATTGTTGAATCCGAGACACTTTGCTGGGATTATTCTTTAGACAATGCATCTTTATTTATATAGTGCTTTCACAACAGCGGCACTATAAGATTAAAACAGCAGCAACACTTCGATTTGACCTGGATCAGTGAGTGTATACGATTTCTGACAAGATGTTTCAACAGTTAAGCATTTACCATGTGTTCAAATTTCATTTTCACAACACTGTAAGACAGTGATGAAATCCTACTATTTGTGTAGCAAACTGCTTTTGGGGGGTTACTTGGAGAACATTTTGTATCTTTTACAGAAAAGCCAATCAAGAAAAGACGACATGACCTCATAGAAAATATAAAATATCCACATTGTAAAAATATTTGAGCCATCCCTTTTTCCAGAACCATTTCACACGAACTTGACACATTAAAGGTCGAAAAAAATGAGGAATAAGAATCAAATTAATTGCTGATTTTTTTCAAAATTATTTTAATAGAATGTGGTCTCTAAAAGTTCTAAACTCTTTTTCGGTGCCAGAATAAAGCACTTTTCAAAGTGTGAAAGGCTTGCACCACAGCATGGAACAACAATGGCCCCCAGGTTGTGAGCGTTCCCGTTTTTGAGAGTGCTGAAATAGTAGCACCAGGAAGTTTAAAAAAAAAAAAACCTACATACATTTTTGCCATTGATTTAGATGAGAAATCAATGCTGCTGATTTAGATGAGACCGCAGCTTAACGTGTATCTTTCCTTGTTGCAAATGACAGCCCTGACTGAGCGCATCCGTTACTAATGGCTCCATGGGAACTCAGTGAGTTGAAGCTTGTTCGCGAGCTACAGCTTCACCAAGACCACTCGAGGTATATTTCAGGCTGAGCAGGGAGCAGTGTCTTTTTAAGAATGTCACTGTATGGCATCTCTTGTGTCCCAGAGCTCGGGACACTGAGACATTAAATTAACAAAACTTCCTCTACAGATGGGTATTGTTAAGATTGGAACTATACTACTACACTTAACTATTGACGTTATATGACGTGTGTGTGTGTGTGTGTGTGTGTGTGTGTGTGTACACACACACACACACACACACACGTCATTATCATATTTTTAAAATAAACAGACTGAAAAACCACCTTAAATCTAATAGTGACTTTAAATTTGGTGCCGTTAAAGAATGTGGTACTGATGAAAACTAGTTTTTGTGATACAGTTAGCAAATTGGGATATCATTAAATCAAGAACTGTTTACGAATAGCAGACCGGTTAGACAAGTCTAGTGAATTTCCCGTGTATGTATGTACGTGTGTGTGTGTGTGTGGGGGGGGGGGGGGCGTGTAGTAGTGAATGGGAGAAGATTACGTAACAATATGCATCCGACGTCCACACCCTTTTCTCCTAACAAAGGTTGTGTACGTGCACGCCTTTGATTTCTAAAGGAAACGTGGTGGATCATAGTCAGGAATTATGAAAACATCAGTGTTGCGCTGTACAACGAGGCGGCCCTGTTGCACTCATTCGATCCGACAAATCGTGCACCTGATAGACGCCTGTGAATTCCAAATCCTTTTTTTTTTTTTTTTTTTTGGAGGGGGGCGATTTACACTTTATCACAACTGGGAGGTTTTATTCCAGTCCCCGCGCGCATCACACAACGACAATAGGGCGTTTAGCGTGGAATTACTGAGATAACCCTTCACTTGCGGGGTTTTCTGCTCGAGGCGGAAATCTTCCTTTTATCATCTGAACTAGTGAAAGCGACCCACATACCTGTAGATGGTGAAATCAATCCAAAGTCTTAGAATTTGCCAGCGACGAAGGACGGGCAGCTTGATAAATTATTAAAAACATTGTGCGACGAATTACACGGATGGAGGATGGCCGTGGCTGTAACAGTGCTTGACGGTAGGGCGCAGACTCCAAGAGGATGTCAAGGTCTTCTGACAGGCGGCTCTTACAACCAATCAGAAGACCCGGCTTGGCCTCTCTTCGCGGTATGCTTCATTTCAGCCAATGAAGAGCTGTTGTCCGGGTAATCAACACACCGCACCATAGGGACATTTCACCACAGTCATGATTTGTTGCACTTGGATGACACATTTTTATCATACGAGAAGTCATCAATTGTCTCACCTAATGTAATGTTAAAAGACCATAATTAATTTTTACTTCAATGGTTTTATGATGACCGAGTGGTTGCCTCATAGTTCTGAGGTTCCAGCCTTCCAAGATGCATACATACTCCACTGTATGCATCTTCTCCGCATGTTTATGTGGGTTTTCTGTTGATACTCTGGCTTCATCTTGCATTTAAAAACGTGCTTCTTAGATTAATTGAACATGTTAATTTGCAATTGGCTGGTGACTAGAGACAGCTAAGAATAAAGTCGAAAAATATTTTAGAATATCAAATAAAATGCTGGAGGGGACTTAACTGGGAATACACAGATTTCTGTGCTATAGATAGAGTTCTTCGGATTGGCATTGTGGGTAATAGTCGGGGGGGGGGGCAGAAAAGGTTTCTTTAATCTTCCCAAAATCATTAAAAACCAAGGATTTTGACTCCACCGTTACAAATTGTCAAAGTCCCCTTAAAACTTCCAAGTCCAAGGGTGTCAAACTCAAGGCCCGGGGGCCAAATCTGGCCTGCCATATCATTTTGTGTAGCCCGCGAGAGCAAATCAAGCATGTCAACTTTTCCATGATGCTTGCTAAAGTCTGAACTAAAATTTAAGACAAGAAAACTTTAATAGTCTCACAATGGAGAAATTCCCACTTGACAGCAGCAAAGTTAGGAGAAGGAAGAAGTAGAAGAACAAAATAAGAGCTGCTGGAAAGGCAGCCACTCTCGCGGCGCCATCTTGAAGTCAAAATAACACAACAAAACACATAAGACACAGACAGTCGTGCAATCTTAATCACTTTTCCTGCATACACTTTGTTGTTTGAAGCAGTTATAGATGAAAGAGGAGAGGATCAAAGTGTCCTTTCATCAGTGGATCAGAGACGTCATGCTGAAAATGTGCACATGTCTGTCACAAGCTTAAGTTTTGAAAGCAAACACGAAGCTGTAGCGTCCATTGACGAAAACAGATTGTCTCACATTCCTGTCCCCCAAAATATAATCAATCATTACATCGAGATATTGCAAGCATTATCTCACTCCATACTTATTACATTAACATAACCATTATTCTTGACTTCTGATTTCAAAACTAGTTATCCACCAATTTGTTGTGCACTGTGTATGTAATATGTGGAGGTGATCAAATATTTTTACCGTTTCACAAAATTCATAATGGCCCGCTCAGGGAAACCGTAAGTAACTACAATGTGGCCCACTAAAGTTTTCAAATGAGGTTTTAATAAGACTTGAAATTTGAAAAGTAGCTAAACTAAAGAGATCTTGACATTGGATGCCACAAAGATCTTGTTTTGTCATCAAATCAATCTGCCATTCTTGTGTTAGGCATTCATGAACAACAAGGTCTCTATTGTTTGTCCCAGTCAGAGATGTGCATTGTGTCTTCGCTCAAGTCAGGGAAAGTGTTTTTTTTCTGTGAACATTGTGGAGACATTGTTTCTAAGAATTTAGGGTGACTTGTGACACTGTGACTTAACCATGTAAATAGTGCATGCAGTGTGACTGTATTCAACGGGGCAAGTGGAATGGAGCCTGGTAATGTTTCAGTGATCAATGATGGCAGTCAAGTTATTTCATGCAAAGACACTAGAATGACTGTCAAACAGTAAAGTTGAACCAGCATTGCAAATCGAAAGCTTGATTACAAATGTCACGTTAATGTTCAAAAACTGACCGATTATCACCAAACGTTATGTGAACATGGATATTGATATCATAATCATCAAAACATTCGAACAAAACGATTGTGGGTTATATTTACATTGTATGCCCGTATGCGTTGCCTCATACAACATTAATATAATCCAAAATACTTTACGTTTGGATAGTTACAGAATAAACATTTACACTTTTGTGTTTGACTGTGTGTGTGTGTGTGTGTGTACACACACATATATATATATATATAAAAAATATATATAGTTACGGTTCCAGAACAGACTCAGACTCTACAAATGTAATGTAAAGGCAGATAAAGGTATACAAAAATATTTTACAGCAAAAAAATGACAAAGTACAAATAATGACGCTGGTACGCACACCAGGAGAAAACGAGAAACCCAAAAGCACATGCATAAGGCAAGGGAAAAATACAAATGAAAATAGCTTGTCACCAAAGGACAAAATTACCCAGTCACGAAAATAGCAAAACCGAGAGTAATGATAAACACAGGCAAACTACTGACGGAAAATGGAGAACGAGAATACGGAGCAATATCGAGAACGTTTCGAAAACTGCACTTGAACAAATTGCATGAGCAAGGTGAATTATCCGACAGTCAGGTGTCATCCGTGATGTCCTTAAATAGTCCATGATCAAATGAGGAACAGGTACGCAGCAGGAAGGACCGGAACACCACTGTCACCCACTGGGGACTGTATAATATAACCTGGACGTGCAAACCAGTCAACCACTGTGCCACTATAAAAAAACATTCAGAAAATTGAAATATTTGTTGAACCTGTGCCACTATAAAAAAAACATTCAGAAAATTGAAATATTTGTTGAACAGTACATTTAGGTTCCTAACTAAGTCATTTTGCTCATTTAAATGCTTACATTAGCTAAAAATGTCCACCCTATCATTGTCCACCATGTCAACAAGCTCATATATTGTATTTTGTTGTTTGCATATACATTGTCTCCTTGCAGTCAATTTATATATTTAAAATAAATGTGTGGGAGCATGACCAATATTATTTTCTGACAGAATAACATCAATTTTAATTGGGGCGTAATGCGAAAGTCACACCTTGTGGAAACATTGACTGATATGATGTGAGCGGTAAATTCACCATTAACCATTGACGAAACATGCATTTGAGACAGATAATAGACGAAACAAGCAGTTACAGTTGCCCTGGGAATACCAAATGACAAGTCGACACACCTTAAACCTGTGAGCACATGTCATGATTTAAGTACTCAACAGTGTTTTGTTTGACAGGTTGGAGGTCAACAGTTAGGTCGTTGAGAGATTTTTTCACTGAGCCCTGCCAAACAAGATGGATTGGTCATGCTGGACAAGGTGAGTCGATCTTCTGCAAGTTGCCCACAAGTTCACCACATTTAAAAGTTTGTGACCTCTTTCCTGGGGTATGTGAAGAGCAAAGTTGATGTGCTTTCTGCAATCCTGAATGAACTGTTTAAAAAAACAAAAACAAAAACAAGCACCACTAGAGCTGGGCGCATGATCATGTCTAGACAAAACTAGGCCATTCCATCACTGCCAAGCAACCTGAGGAATGCACGCCGAGTCTCGGTAAAGCTACTCTATAGTTACATGAAATCATGTAACTGTCACTATACTCACTGTGAAAGAACATTACAATAAGGGTACCATGTTACTGTTTGTATGAAACCAGAGAGTATTTTCCAGCTTTGTTACTTAGAATCACAAAACTGTCATCATTCAGTGTGATTTTTTTTGGCCCAATGACTCTGCCTCCACTTTCATTTATCTTCTTTCATCCCAGAAACAACCTAATCAATATTTTAAATGTTTTTTTTTTTTTGGTAAAAATATGATCATGGTCAATACAATACAAATGAAAACGAGTGAATAGTGAAAATACTGGTCAAAACTAATGTGTTCCAATGCATTATTTTTCTTTAACAGTAGTGACATGTTGAGCAGTGACATGATGCAAGAGGAAAGACCTGTGGGGTGGAAATGAGCACTTATGTCATGGGTACACCACGACTAATGGCAGAATGAAATATATCAGGTTAAATGAATTGAATTCCATGATAATAGCTTTTCATTTTTTGCTCTCTGAGACTCAGAGCGGTAGAGATCATTTGTTATCCACTGGACTTGAGCATTAGCGACAGGGAGGGAAAAATGCTGGTTTCATCGAAGGGAGACATTCATGGTAGCTATTTTATCCTTATGCAGGACTTGTCGTAAATGTGAATTCATTTTGAGGAAGTAGACGGACAGCGCACTTATCTATTCCACTCCAAAGGATAATTTTGTTCTTGAGAACTTTTTGCACTTTTGGATTTTTTTTTTTTTTTTTTTTACATTTTGAGGATTTACAACTCCTTTACATCTGATTTTTAACTGCATGTAGATAGAATTATAAATGTAAAATAAAATTATATATATATATATATATATATAATTTTTATTTTTATTTTTTTTTTAAGTTGATACTATACATACATACACACACAAAATATTTTGTCATTTATTTTCCTTTTTTATCTACTTATTTTCAACTTTGCCGTCTTCTTAATTTATTAAATATCTTTAATCTCACTGAACACTATTTTCTTATTAAAGACCTCCCTCATGGTTTTTTCAAGAAATGACAGTTATTCCCACTCCATTCCATCTGCCGTACAGAATCCTGAGTCCCTGCAATCATAGTGATAGCTAAATATACCCTGGTCTTCACAAATACAACGAATCATTTAGATGGAAGAGTTGCTGTGAAAAGGGTATGATCAGATTGTTTTGTTTTTTTTTTCTGCCAAAGGTTGTTTAATAGAAAATTTAACTGATTTAAGATGGGGACTGGCGCTCAAGAAACAAGGGAAGTCTGAACCTGGGCATCTCTTTCGTTGCTGGTTCACAGAACCTTTGTCTTCTACCAATTTTCACATACTGTGGCATCGGCAAACGGGAAGTTTTAACTCTTTATAAATGGCGAGCCAGCCAGGGGCTATTTTAATCCCTGGGGTAAACAAGATTTGATCGTAGGTAAATCCTCACCCATGCCTATTGGATTCTGTCACTAGGTGTCAGCGGTGTGAAACCATAAGGTCAACAGGAAACGCTCAAAAATATGTGCAACATGATTAAGTCATCTGCAGTTTATTAGTAATAGTACAGGATTGCAAACAAGGTCTCTCAAGAAAGAAATGAACAGTACCTTCAATTTTAAATATACAATTTATGAGAAGTGCTGAATATGGACCAGTATACCAATTGGAATGGCCACCAGTGGAAAAACACAGTTAACACCAGAAACAGTGTAATCAGCTGCCAACAGGAACTAGTTGCGTAAAAAGAGGCACTAAATCTTAAACTGCAACTATTGCAATAAATGTAACACGAAGCTTTTCCTTGAATGGAATACATTCTCTTTCCATCTTCATTCATTCCTTTGTTTTCCTCAGTTCTTCGATCTTCTTTTCCTTTAAAAAAATAAAAAAATAGTTATTTCTTTTTGTGTCTCATTTAATTTAAAACTTAAAAGATCACCAGCACATACCTTATCCTTGAGTTTCTTATCGAGAGCAGCCAATCGCGCTTCACGATTGTCTTTGTTTGCCTCCATCTTCTGGTTAAGCTTCTCTTGAGTTGTCTTGCTAAAGTTGCAACAATCATCCATGGCCCTCTGGAGGACTTCTCTCTCATGCTCTCGTTTCTCGGCCAATTGCTTCAGCACTTCAGCCTCGTGGGTCTAACAAAGACAAAAATCTGCGTTTCACCGTGGTTGTTGGAGATTTGTTATTTCAGTCGATTCATGTTATTTCTGAATGTACCTTGTATCGCTCTTCTGCAGCAAGCATCTTCTGAGTGAGCTTCTCCTGAGTGGTCTTGCTGAAGTTGCAGCCTTCATCCATGGCTCTCTGGAGCACCTCCTTCTCACGCTCCCTTTTCTCTGCAAGGGTTTTCAGCACTTCAGCCTCGTGGATCTGGACAAAAAAAAGAAAAAAATGCAATTTTGACTAACTTGTCCAGTATTTGATTGATTGACCAATTTGTGATGTGAAGATACCCGGTGTCTCTCTTGTGCAGCCACCATTTTTTGAGTGAGCTTTTCCAGTGTATTCTTGCTGAAGTTGCAGCATTCATCTATGGCCCTCTGGATCACTTGCTTCTCATGCTCTCTTTTCTCCGCCAGGTTCTTCAGTAATTCAGCCTCGTGGTTCTGAGAAAAGGGGGCAAGATTGAAGATACAACTGAGTCTGTCAAGGGCAAGGCAGGTGGTTATGTTCTGACCTGTGTTCGCATTTGAACAGCATAACCCAGACAACCCTCACATAGCACTTTTTTTTTTTGCAAATACCTAACCAAAAGACCTAAGGCAGCGATATACACTAAAAAGTTGTTGGACCTCAGAGAAATTTAGAGCAACAAGTCAGCTGTTTAATTATTCCAATTAGTTGGTCATTTTCCCCACAGTTGATCAAATAAATTGAGTCAAATGTCCATTCAGGTTTTCTAACCAATCATATGGTAGATACCTTGCGTCTCTCATCAGCGGCCTCCAACTTCTTCAGAATCTCATCCAGCGAGGTTTCCTTCTTTTTCACAGGGGACAGTGGAAATTGCACTTTTGCATCAGGAGAGGTGGGTCTCAGGATGAGCTCAAACGCGTGACCTGACGCACGCTTGTTCAGCTCCTTAACTTGGATGTCTGCAAAACCAGATGTGTTAAAGCTGACTGCTTGAGCTACGGTGGCAATACACAGGTGACTCATTGGGAAATTTCATTCATCTTGTTGCAAATACACAAATTCATTTTGTACAACTTAGATGGGGCAAATTAATAATTCAAGGTTGCTCTAGATTTTCAAAAGTAAACATTTGTGAAGTGTAATCCCCCCCCCCCCAAAAAAAAAAAACACACGAAAGCGCAATATAATCTATTATATTGCACTCACCTGCAATGTGTGCCATTTCAGTTGAGAGGTAGCCTGTATGGAACCACTAGTGGTAAGAATAAACAGAAATTAAAACAGGACATATACAATTTTCTGCTCAAACAACAGTCATGAGTTTTTCCTCCTCAAACAACAAAGACCTCGTGTTGAAGGAAGTTAAATTGTGGCCTGCTGAACCCAAGCTCTGCGTACCTACAGCCCAGTTTAAGTTGTTAATTAATATGACGACAAACAGACACGTGGAAATGCAATGTTCGAAAAACCACTCAAATTACAACTGTAATATATGTTGGAACAAGTCGATACGTAGCTCTCTCGTTCACCACTGCACCAACTTGCTGTTTGGTTTGAGATAAACAACGGGTGCTTGTTGCAAATACAAAACACACGAGGCCAGCAGCAGATTTAAGTAAAACTCGTTTCGAACAAACGTGAACATTTGAGTCTTAAAACTACTAAAAGTAAGAGCGATATCGAGTAAGACGATCAAATGAAAAGTGGCGTTTTGCTCCAGGTGTAACGTTCCATCGTCGCCATGTCGCGTGCCCAGCAGCCATGCCAACAGTCCGTTCAATTACCTGAAGTTGACTTCGTTTTAAAAGTCGCAATCGTTGCTAGTACACTCTTGGCGCTTCTCTACACAATCCGCGAGTGATCTGAAATTCTTATTTAAGCGGTCACGTAGAGCATCGTTCTCACCTATTCCCGTGTTTGAGGTGCTCGAAGGAGATATGCTTTCAAGGTTTTGTCTTTATTCCAACCGCCAAGTGAGCAGCCTCCCGCACAAAGTTGGATATATGACGTCTTCGCAGCTCTTGACGTTGATTGGTCCAAATCCACCAATCAGATGGAGCTCTGACGTTACACTAAACAAGAATGTCGGTTAAAGCGACGTCACAAGAAAAAACTCACTTCTAAACTTTTATACACAAAATTAAACCCTTCAGCTCTTTTACATCACCTTTTGGAACAAAACTATGTAAAAGGGTGATGATAAAGATCTTAATTGGGTGCACAGTACTTAATTGATTCAGCCTCCCTATCAATAGAAATTAATTATTTGATTCATTAGTGTACATAGTCCACAAACACATTTGACTCCTGACAACAGGTGATGAAAGCTGAAAGTGCAAAATCCTTTACATTAAACTTTGATTTACAACCTAAATTCTTATATTTCTTTAATGAAATTATTTTAATGTCCTATATTAAACCGATTGTCTTAGTTTGAAGAGCGTCTCTTGGTTACACTGCTTCTGCTAAATACATGTATATATGAGATATATATTTTTTGTTCAATTAGATATCAGTCTCTCTGTGCTGCCATGTCAAATAAAATATCCGCATGACCATCAGAATCAGTAGTGCTAAACTATAACTTTATATTTATGAACCATGGGACTGTCAGATTTCAAATTCATCCTGAGACAGCCACAGTGCTATTCCTCAGACAATTTTCCATCAGAGCAAGCCAAACCAAGTTCGGTTAGATATTAACAGGTCTATAGTGATCCGCATACACAAATACATTTACAATCAGCATCGCTGGTGAGTATGATATTATATTTTATTATGTTCTGGATCTTTCTGTTATTTGTTAAACATTGCGTTTGAACTCATCCAGATGTTTTTTTTTGTTTGTTTTTGTTTTTTTTTTGTGGTTTGTTTATTCTATACAATACATCTTTATTTATATAGCACTTTCACAACTGTGGCCCTGCTAGAACCGGCACTGGCCCTGTATATTAATTACATAAGTTTGGATGATTATTTTTGTGTACTGTCTTTAGAGAAAATATTACCTCTATGTAGGTACTTGTAAGCATATTAATTATGTGTGTCATATTGATTCGATGCCAGTCATTCAATCTTCATGCCCCGTAGAGGGCAACATTTAGCTGATCACTTGTCTGCCATTCTCCAGGAACAAAAACGACATTCACCCAGTTTGGTCTTCAGACAGCCAGCTGTACGCGTAAAGCGGCGAGAGGATACAACTAATCTCAACATTTTGATGTCATCATGGGAGCCTGTTTGGCATTGTGTTCTTTAGCCAGCTGCGTAAGTATTTCGGCTCAATTATGTCGTCTTCCTTGAATGTTTTAGTCTGAACTCAGTCGAGGCTTCACAACAACACAAGCAGTCGACGACCCCACCGAATAACGACTAACATTCAAGTAGCTGCTGTGAGCACCAAGTTATAAGCATCATGTGTACGCGTCTCTCAGGCTCATTAACGTGGGTTACTTGATTACTTTTATATTTTTAAAAAAAAAAAAAAATCTGACTTCATGTTTTCCAAGACGTTAGCTTCACAAGCTAGCTATGTCGTCGACTGTAGATAATATGCAAGATTCGGTTGGGTTCATTTGTAACCGTTTATGATATCTGTTTCGCCCAGCATGTTATTTAAGATTTGAGCCCCACACGTTTGTCACGTTTACGGTTTAAAAATGCCACCGTTTTCTCGAACGGCGATAATGATTAAGAAACGTTTGTAAAACGCCCTTCGGACCAATGGCCAACAGGTGGCGATCTCAGTGGTTGTAAAATGACATCTTTGTTAAAGTCAAATTCCTCCTCATTACATTGATCTTGTCAGTCAAATGAGCTTGGTTTTACATAAATTATCAGCACATTCTTGTGTCTCAGTTCTAATACAATTGTTTCTATTTAAGCATTACTGCTTGACGATTGAAACTGAAGTGTCAAGGTAAATCTAAAACTGCTTCCACTTGGTGTCTTCTCCAATCTTGCAGGCTTCTTGTTTGTGTGGCTCAGCACCATGTCTGCTGTGTGGCTGCTGTCCCTCCTCCAATAACTCCACTGTCACACGACTGGTTTTCAGCTTCTTTTTGCTGCTAGGGACCTTGGTGTCAGCTATAATGATCCTTCCCGGAATGGAAACTCAGCTGCGCAAAGTGAGAGATGTGGCATCGCCATCATTCTTGACTTTCAATTTATACTCCTGACCATATTAGAATATTTTGTACATTGAAATTGAGTGTGTTGATTTGATTTTTGGGTTTTTCAGATCCCAGGATTTTGCCAGGGTGGAAGCACTGTATTTGGCCTTGAAAACAAGTTTGACTGTGATGTCATCGTGGGCTACAAATCCGTGTATCGCATTTGCTTTGCCATGACCTGCTTCTTCTTTCTCTTCTTCATCATCATGATTCGCGTCAGGTCCAGCAAAGACCCCCGTGCGCCTATTCAAAACGGGTAAAGGTTGCAGCTGTATTCCACTCACGTCACATGGCTTTAACAGATAGTTCCGGGCATCACAACCTCAAGAGTGCCAGCCATTTAACAGCATTTCGAGTTATTCATTAATTTTTTTAAGACCAACAGAATATTGTGTTCTATGATTATTTCTACATTAAATCAACCGAATTAAGGAATCAAAAATAAGATGCTCTTTCACCACGAAAAAATTTTGATTCTACCATTTGTTAGTTATCAGCAGTATTTTGCGAAATTAGGTCGCTTCTCACATAATACAGAGAAAAATCAAAGCTTTTTATGTAAACAAATATCACACAGAACTTTGGGCTGGGCCATATGGCTGAAAAGTGTATTATGATATACGGTAAGTATTTCATATTGGTCTGACAATTTAATTTAGGTCACTTTAACATTACGGTAATATTTAACCTTTAACAAGAGTTCAATGCAACTATGAAAAGTGAAATTTAACTAATCAATATAAGTATAAACTGAACACCTTTTTAAACATAATTTGCTTGACTGGGCAATATGGATGAAAAATGTTTCACAATTCAAGTTTTTCATATCAGTCGACTCATAATTTTTTTATGTATTTAATATTTAAGATCAAGTTTAATAAAGCACAACTTTTAAGCGAAAAGAAATATTAAAATATCTGTTAGTAAATTTAATTTTCCAACAAATGAATCTGAAAAGGGTTTGTTTTTGTGTGTGTGTAAATTGGAATGTACTCTAAATGCTTATTTGCGGAAGATGCTACCCCAAAGCAGAATCGTGGATAGTTCCATTAACCTTCATTCAATATTGTCCATACAATAGAAGTGGAGCGAACTAATTCTCTTGGAGTGCATGCATGACAGTTGACCCCTCGTCTCAGAGAAGCTGACAGACAAGCACTTGGTTGTGCTCAAAAAAACACATTTGTGCTCAAAATTTTGTAATGGTGGCACAAATCTAATGCCACGCTGTGGTCTCTGCCCACAACATGCATGTACAATGTCGGATCATGGTTTGATTCCTGATTTACATTTTTTTCTACTGAACAATTTATCAAAAGCATTCAGTGTTATTTTTAGGCGTCTGACTATTGCGATACATAATGATTATTGCCCTAAGCAGAAAAGTGACTTTAATGCTAATATTTTTGCTTTTGTGACACCACTAACATCTGAACAGTGGTTTCATTCTGTGAAACAGTAAAACCAACATATAGAAATGGCTCTTGATTGCGATATAATAATCTATTTAGTAATACACAAGCATTGTATTCTACTTACCAGGAAGGCACGTCAGCCATTAGTGGCCGTTCACGTCAACCACCTCGTCATCCTTGTCATATTCCCAAGATTGTCGTTATACTTTGATCCTATTATGACATGTGCATACATGCTAATGCTAGCTATCATAACGTACTCTGTGAATGATATACATAAATGTTCTGGTTTCAAGTGTTTGCTTCAGATTGTCCGACTGAAAGTCTGTTAAGTGCTGCCATGACAGAAAAGTCACCTTTCCTCCGCTATATAAACAGTTGGTTAAAAAGGAGTGATTTCAAATCTAAAATGTTGCACAACTACCATCTGTTGGCGGTGTGGTTCATTACCACTCTTCAAGCGCTTTCGATTTCAGGCAAAGAGCATCACACTCCCCTCTGCCACTCCCAATGAAAACAATGTAGCAAATGACAAAACTGGCATTGAATGTTTTGAATCTGACGAACACCTTATGTTGTTCTTGGTATGTAATGAATCGAGTGTGCATGTCATGTTTTTTCAAAGAAGAAAAATGGTTTTTATCCAATGTTTAAAATAGATGAGCAGGATGTGCATTTGCATCATTGACTTTAATCCATCTGCTGTACTGAATGTATGTTTTTAACTGTTTTCTTTTCAGTTTCTGGTTCTTTAAATTTCTGATCCTAGTTGGGATTACAGTGGGAGCCTTTTTCATCTCTGATCCGCTCTTCAATACTGGTGCGAACAACATTAATTCATTTTGTAGCAACATACTTTTGAGAGGCTGATATTTTTATTTTGTAGTTATTTCGGTTGTATTTGTCACAGCTGTGTCTCTTTCCTTTTTTGCTTCACAGTGTGGTACTATTTTGGACTAGTGGGTTCACTCTTATTCATTATCATTCAACTCATTCTCCTCATCGACTTTGCCCACTCCTGGAACAAAGCGTGGGTAGAAAATGCCGAAAATAATGACAACAAGTGCTGGTATGCAGGTATAGCATTTTAATATCTGATGTCTTCCATAACATGACTCAAGCGCTGTAAATGTTTCGTAAACATTCATCGGCCCGCATCTTCATGTGATTCCCAGGCCTGGTGTCTTTCACCTTCCTGAATTACGCCCTGGCTTTCACCGCTGTTGTGTTGTTTTATGTTTACTACACGCAACCGGATGACTGCAAAGAGCACAAGATTGTCATCAGCCTCAACCTTATCTTCTGTATCATCATCTCTATTGTTTCCATCCTGCCCAAAGTTCAGGTAACAACTCGCTTTCCTTGGTGTACACAGCTTTAAGGAAAACGGGTGTTCCGTACAATTAAATGAATGTGGCTTTTAAAATGTCCCGGTGTTGCACATCGTGAAGTACGATGTTAATGTATGAATGCTGTGATGCTTGCAGGAAGCCCAACCTTACTCTGGCCTGCTACAGGCTTCGCTCATCTCTCTCTACACCATGTACGTCACTTGGTCCGCACTGACCAACAATCCAAGTGAGTCTCATGGTGTCTTATTCAGTGTTTGTCGAGTCATTCGTGATCAGTATTATTGCAACAGTTCCCATAGTGATAAATCCAGTTCAGTGGATTCCTGGTGATTTCTGATATTCAACCGTAGTCATTCCTCCCTGACCCCCACCCCAAAAACTAAATTAAAAAAAAATCCGAAGTGATTCACTGGCTTTGATGGAAAATTCTAAATTGGGGATAATCAGTGAGTCCATGCCCATTTTTCAAAAAGAAAAGAACAACAACGAAATACTTCCAATTCACATTCAAAGTGCATTTCAAAGCTCAATATTAAGGAACGGTGGACTAAAAATGAAATATCATCCATCCATTATCTGAAGTTCTTCTCATGAGGATCGCAGGTGCGCTGGAGCCTATCCCAGTTGTCTTCGGGCAGTAGTAAGGGTATACCCTGAACTGGTCGCCAGCCAATCGCAGGGCACACAAAGACAAACCATTCGTGCCCACAATCACAACTAGGGACAATTTAAGAGTGTTCAACCAATCTACCATGCATGTTTTTGAAATGTGGTGAGAATCATTGCTTTAAAGTGGCATTGTTTTTCAAACCAAGTATGGAATTTGTAACTGTAAACACCTTTCCTTTTGTGCCATTTAAATATGTTCAAACCGACATGTCTAATTTAATGTCATGCCACAGCAAATAGTTAAAGCAAAAATCCATTCATTTTTTTTTTTTTACATTGCATTTGTAAGTTCTTTGCCCCCACTAGTCTAAACATGGTTGTGATGCATATTGCTTTTGTGGAGTAAGAATTAAGAAGACTAATCCGCCCGTTTACAGCCAACCAAGGATAAGGACATTTGATGTTACACAAGAACCTGCTTGCCGTCTGAAATTGACATCAAAGGGCCCATGAGCTTTTTGCGAATGTCACAGTTTATCTGTTTTTCCGGTTTTGGTCACGGATGTTCGTGGGCACAGTCGATAATTTCAGTTGGTAGGCAGTAGGTGGCGGCATTGCATAAAAAGTCAGGCTCCTTGGTTGGCTGAAAAAACGGAAGTGTATTCGGCTATATTTGATTCCATGAAAACAATATTAATCTGAACGCGGTGTTTAGACTAGTGGGTGCACATTGTACCGGTACATATTATTGCAAAGAACATTTTTTTGGCTTGACTTCTGCTTTAATATCCCCACATGAACTAGAGCTGACTGTAAAGCCCATGTTAAATGTTCTGTAAAGCGCTTAGCTACAGCTGCAGTGCTATATAAATAAAGAAGTATTGTGTGTGTGTGTGTGTGTGTGTGTGTGTGTGTGTGTGTGTGTGTGTGTGTGTGTGATTAGATAGAGAGATAGAGA